TACTGGCAATTACGAGGCCTTCATACGAAGTCCAACGTTCGGTAAGACTGATCTTGATATTTTTTTGTATCAAGATTAGTTACAATTATATGTTAAAGTGGATTCATGATCACATGCGTGACAAATATGTGTAACTATGTTGACAGAACTAATTTGACAGTCTCCGCCAAAATCAGTTTTGTGAGTCCATCGTAATTCGTAAGATTTGCATAGATGTTTGAATAAATATTTAATAATGGTTATTTTGGTGTTGTAAGGTTATCAAACTAATTTGATTTTTATTGAGTGTGTCATATTTTTCATAATGTTCATGTTATTTTTGTGATGCAAAGGGTTGGAAAGAACATATTTTAAGTAAATTTTCGTATTGAATGTGCCAAAAAATGCCGTGTGGCAACACATCTAACAGACTGCCGGGTTTGGGTGGCTTGTGTTTCTGTATGTTTGTCAACGCACCCATGACAAAGGAGAAAATCCTAGTGTGTGGCAGCGATTAAAAAAAGCATAAACTTTTTTAGTAGCTAATGTTTATTATAATTGTGTAGGCCTAGGTATATGTAACAACCCTTTTTTACCAGGTACCTTTGTAGCTATTTATTTGTTGCTACGCCTGGACGTAGGTAATTCCAAATACAATTTTCAATTTAAATTAAAAAAAAAAGAAGCTCTATGAAAGTGGCACAAGTTTAAATGAATGACATTGTAGGCTGAACGTATGTGGCCTCATAACCATGACATATAAAATAATTTGCATATTATAAATAAAACTGCGAGGAATGCCAATCAGCGATTTTATTAGCTATTTATAAATGAATATTAGAATTAAATTATTCGCATAAACTTAGTAATATGCGAATTAAAACTGTGATTATTTTAAGCTGAGCATAAATAAAAATCATTATTTTTTTAATATACCTACTTATTTATATTCCTATTTGATCTATATTAATTGAAATTGACCTGGAAAGTGAAAAGTAAAGATCAAATTATTGTGTTAAAAACGTTACAAAATATATTTTTATTTTCTTAAAGTCATTGGAAAAAGAACTTGGGAAGCGGTCCCGCCATATTGGGAAAATATAATATTACCACAGTCACTTTCTGCTTGCCTGGTACCGTTGAACAAATCATTCAATAAATTTTACATTTTTCGATTTGGCTTAAATCGTAAATCATTCTGAATTGATACTATTTAATTGTTATCTATTAATTTGATTATTTAACAGCAGTTTCAATTATGTTGAAACTCGTTAGGTAAATGTTGCACTATTTTTATAACTATGTATATGTATTTTATTGTAAATGTTTACAAACCATACTAAGTTACAATTTTTGTTAAGATAACGTTCAATACTTACCTAGAATTCTTATTGTTTCAAAACTTCGAAATATTAATAGGTAGGTACAGCAATAAAATATCTTATCTATAGGCGCTTACAATTCACTTTCGCTTGTAGGTGAGTTGTTTTATTATAATTCCATTACAGAATAGGTACTGTTACTTCAACTTGTTATTAGATATTTCTCAGTTCATTTACCTTTTTGGTAAAAAAAAGAAAAAAGAAGTGACGCAAAGTATCAAGCATTCTGCCTCATAGTTCCTACGTTGTCATTGGCGCCTTATTTGTCGCAAATGCAATGCTGCATTCACGTAATATTTTTCAAACTAGATCGAGGTCGCTTTATATTTTTTGGTCTGAATTAGGTTTCATACAAGTCTGTGTATTGATTTGAATATTTGAATGTTGGTGAATGTACTTGAGAAGGCTGTAATGTGTTAATTGAACCGTAGAACGCGTGAATTGTAACGATTGCAGAATAGTACTTTATGTGTCTTGCAACGTCGGTAAATAGAACATTCAATTTATTTTTCACTAGCTACTGCCGCGCGTTTTCATCCGCTGCTCTTCTCCTAATGGCAGTAGTGTGATGTTTTATAGCCTATAGCACTCATGAACATTGTAGCTATCTAACAGTAAATGAATTTGAAAATCCGACCAGCTGTTCTAAAGATTAGCCCCTATATACAAACTTACAAATATCTGTTTATATTGTAAGTATAGACCACTTGCTTCGTCCACAGTATCAGGGTAAAAAGTAGCGTAGGTACGTATTATATCAGATATAATCTATCTCTGTATATTTCATCCTGATCCGTTAAGCAGTTTCAGCGAATAAGAGTAACACATACACAATCACACCCACATCCATAAATCCCTAAAAAAAATCTTGAATTTATAATATTATATAAAGGACAGGATTTATTGTAAAATATTCGTCGATTTTTATAAATTCTAAACCCAGTTAACATCTATCTATTTATAATGGAGCTAATTAATTTGAAAGTAGGTTAGGTCGTCTCATTTGCTGTCAATGCTACATTCTTTAGCTAATACTCTAACATTTATAATATTAATTAATTCTATGTAATATAACATAATATTTTACCGGTTCTTCGCATTGATTACATATTTGAAGCGATAGAGGATGCATGCTAACAACGTCGGAAAACGAGGGTTTTGGTCTTGCTTTGTTTTTGAAACCAAGAATTATAGGCCGCAAGTTAAAGAAAACTAGTGAATGATTTCTTTGCTGCTGTGTATTTAGGGTACGAATCCAAATAATAATCAATAGGAACTAAAATCCAAAAAACTTTATCTATAATTATGTTTTACAGCGTGCGTAGTATGAAAAAAGTACATATGTATACTCTTATACGCACTTCACGCGATTGCCTTTCTTCTTATATAAGATCACTTAACCTGTAAATGCACGCACCCTGCAAATTATGACCGGTTCCATCTTTGGCAGTAATTCGGAAATATTTGTTTGTAATAAAGGTAGCGAGAGTTGGAATTATGTAAAAGCGTTCGAACGGGTTCGGTTCTCGTTGTAAGTGGGTCGGCGAGCTTTCTGCGCACGCGCAGGTCTCTGCCCCCGCTCACAACTGCCGGCTGAATAGTTTACGATCCTGCGCATACCTTTCTGTTGCAGGCCTAAGTGTTGAATTAATGTTATTTAGAACTTCAATAGCTGTTTAATACGCTTTACCCGATTAGCACCTCTGAATAAAGTTGCTTTAGTTATTAAAAACTGTAATATTAACTAGATTTTGATAAATCTAATCAGCATTCAACTGTATGTACTTAATTGTTTTTTCAATATGTTTGCGTTTTTTATAAGGAATTTTATACATATTTCATCTTGATTGTAATTATGTTATTATTTTTTTTTTAATGAACGCAACCAGATATAAATTTACATCTTTCGTTGTGTGTTGTGTAATGATAAAAAAAGTATCGAAGACGAAACATTACCTATACCCAAATCTTTCTCATTACAAAATATTACGAATTAAAATTACCTCGCACATGTCTCACGGAAGCTTACAATCCAGTGTATTATGCAAAAACATTCGCGATAATTGCACACACCCAGTTCTGATAAATTTCCCCGGTACCAGACTTGTGGTAATATTCCATAATCGTGTGTAGTCGCCACTCTATACTCACGCCAAGCTTTCCCTGCGATCCCACGATGCATCGTCACAACTGGTCAGCGATCACTGGCGTCTCGCCTGAGGGATCACATATGCGTGAGACCGAACTGAGAAAATGACGACTGACGTCATTAGTCCTGAGAATCTGACGCGGCGGCGGTTCTAGGGTTCTTATTGGTACTTATACGTTATTTTGAATGATTAGTTCGCAAGATGTTTGCAATGTTTTCGACCTTAAATATTGATTTTATTGCCTACTTTAGATGTGTAAATGGTTTTTGATTGATATCAATTTGCGATTTGGGAACGTTCTTTTGTTATTAAACTAATATCTTTTTGATGTACCTATGAATTTCTGTATTAACAAGGTAGGCTTTGTGTTAGATTTTTCTTCGAAATGCTCTTTTTATAGGCGATATTGCGTGACTAAACTGATAGTTACACGCGAATAATTTCTCATGGTGAACTGTCCACAACCTTGGCCATTGTAGTCAAGGACGGTAATCACATCACACAGCGGAAACATTGCCGGAACAGCCCCATCACGCTGACAGACGCTCAACCGCCATATTGCCCGCCATAATTACAAAAACGCGGGAAAATAGTGCTGTCAACGAACCGAGTTGCGTAATCGATTTATAGTTACTGTAATCTGTTAATTGTTGTTGTTTTGTAATTATTCGTAGTTCTAATAAAATGTGTTGTTCTATGATTGCTTGAAAAATTTGCCGTGAAGTTATGAAAGGTTAGGATTTTTTTGCAATTTATTTCGTCACTTTTTTGTTGTATGTAGGTATGTGGATATTTGGCAAGTAACATATGCAGAATGTGTTAAGGATTATAATTATAGTCAGTTAAGCTGACGTTTGCAAAATTGATCAAAGTTTTCGATAGATAAAAATTAACGAGAAAAAAGTTGTACAAGTTCAATCGTAGCCGGATGCGTGAACCGGTATGGACGGTGTCTTCAGACATTATCTGTTTGCATAACATTATATAATAAATAAGCCGTATTTAGTAGAAGATCTTACAATTTCAATCATTACTTCATGTGAGATAAGGATGGCCATATTTTTGTAGTTTTTTTCGATAGTAGAAGGTAACAGCTCTACCATTACGATGTTATTCCCATCACTGAGCAATTATCATTACACAGATTATATTTTTTTGAACATAATTGCTACATTATGATTTATATCACGTGCTAAAAATATAATAAAAATAAAATATAAGTCTTTTATTATGCTTATAATAGGTGCTATGAGATGATTAATAATTTTTTTTTATTGTTTATTCGGTAGAACCATCAACTATGAAATTGCTTTAGAAACAAAAAATATTAATAATTTTGCATAATCTAGTTTTGAATGCAATTCATAGTGTAAATGATCACGCTACACACACATACACACATGATAAAGACTTAAAATAAATTAGAAAAGACCACAACATAAATTATGTGTGGAAGAGTTCAAGATATACTGGTCTTCAAACAACTTACCAAGACAATACAGGCCGGTTAGTAAGCGCCGTCCAATGTATCCAGGACACTGAACACTGCACTATAGTCGGTTATCACAGTTCTTACACACGATCTTATTGACAAAAACACTCTCTCAACATTTCACAGTCTGCCACAACTCCTTTTTGTTCTGAAACAAGAAGAAAAGGACTTTATTTAATTTGAACATAAAGTATAAAATTCATTAAACCGAGGAATATTGGGACCAAGACTGAGTTTTGAGGAAGCAGTTTTGGTTCTTATAAGAAAAATAAGTGCAATTTCCTAGTTTGAAGTTAAAAAGGTGTAGATGTTTATTTGCGATGGAAAATACGATTGCAAATAAGGAAACTAGACACACCGGTTACAACGAAGTAATAATTGCTTTGCTTACTATTGCTAACCTTTGTAATAAATAATATTAACAAGGAGAACATAAAAATGTAGTTATAGCTCCTTCATTATCCTCCATTGACAATGCAGTGGCAATGTTTTAACTTTAAACAAACAACGTTAATTTGTCTTACGATTTTGATGATATTTTACCTACTTCTGTAGTCTCAATACAAGCAAGCAAACAGTATGACCTAATAGCCTAATTAACAATCTAATTACTTACTTAATTGCAGAATTGCGAAGATTGTCATTTAGCGAACGTGATTGCCAATCACAGATTGGAATCAGATTTTCAAAATAAAAATCTCGTCGTTTGACAATTTAATAAGACTAGCGCGTTCGCTGTCTTCTATATGTGAGAACGAACTCGAATTAAACCTTATTGGCAGGTTCACTTGTTGATGACGTAGGTACTTGTATTCTTAATGTTGATGTTTCCCGGATATAAGTGGGAAAATCAATGAGAAATTGACTCACAACGAAGGCCAGTCGCATGACAAGAAATGATTGTTAGCAAGTGTAGTTAGGTAGTTCACTTTTACGACCTTTGTGTATCGAGTTACAAGCATGCAAAACGCACGACGGCTGCGCAAAATATTTACTGGTATAATATTCATGACGAAGCGCATTTATTTCATTTTTATTATAGCATTGTTGTTGTAAAAATGGTTGATTTATATTTTAATTTGTTCTCTTCTCACATAAAGTGCATCTGTATTGCTTGCATTTATTTTACCTTTAGTATTCACTATGTTTGTTCGAAATATTTGATTTGAATCATCTCAGATATCAGATGATATTAAAAAAAACTTGTACTTATTTAAATAAATATATGGAACTATTCTTTTGGTCAAGGTTACAATTTTAAACGGCTAGAATTAGTTCTGCTAGTCTCTCTAACGCGTGTAGAATAAAAATCTGAGCGAAACACACTAAGCAACGAATAAGCGTGAGGGTACCACAAGGCTCTATTTTAGGCCCTTCCTAATTATTGAGCTATAAATATTTCGGTGACCTTGTCAGTAATTCGAATTTATTGGCACCTAATGAAACTTTAAATATAGACTTCATGTGTAAGTTGTTTGTTTGACTTGCCACTCGAGTAGTGGAAAATCCATCATGGCGTTAATTGTTTTGGACGACAGGTGATCATACGTACAGGTTCGACTATACTCACAATCGCAACATAAATCACAGATCTTGGATTATGGTCCCTCTAACTCGTTTTATTCGCCCTGGTTTGGCCCCTGGGTCCGGGTAAAATATGGCGGTTTGTTGGAAACTTCATGACATGAATATATTTATGTTTTATGGACAGGTTTGCCTTTTGGCAAGTTATACACGGTGTGGGCATGGTCAGACAAATTGTTACTATTATTCCGAGGACAATTTTCATCTATTAAGTCGAACCGATCAGTATAATTTGTACGTCGAGTTTAATTTTATACTACTCTAAGCGTTTAAAAAATATGAGTAATGATTGATTAAAGTCTTTGTATACAAATTTTGGAACAGTTTTAACGATATATTAAGACATTGAATACTTTAATGTGAACTTATATATACATTTTAGAAACTTTTATATAAAACAAATATAAATTGAATTCTTCAGACTGTAACCGATATATTTTATTTCAATTTCATTAACTCTGGTTTGCAATGAATCAAGCATCGGCCAGTAAGTGACAAAACAAACATTTCTTCAATGTTTTATGCAAATACACAAAAAAAAAACTACTAATATTTCCAGAATCGAAGGACAACACTGGTTTCTAGCCAGTTTATTAAAAAAAACGGCGCCAGAACTCGAAATTAGCGACCAAAACCAGTATGGAACGATTGATTATATTGCTGTTTATATTATTTATTTTTAAATATCATTCATGACTGAAATCTAGTTTTTGTTTAATATAACTTTTTTGAAATCTAAAAAAAAAGAAAGTGAAAAAAGAGATTTTCTCGTAAACCACAGATAAATGAAAATATTTTAATTATCTATTACAAACATAATTCACATTAACATTAACATATATCATAAAAAATCGAATTACGAAATATTATACAGAGAGATAAAGCACGCGAGAATTGTAGGTAAGTACTCAAACATTTTACAAATTTATTTCTTAATCCGCGGCCATATTACGTGTGACATGGTATTACGTAAAGTTGTTTAATACCGGCAGGTGGCAGCACTGGGTCAACATTATCGTGACGAGGACATCCAGTAGCCATTTGACATTTTAAATTTGGAATCTGACATGAGGATTGCGGTCTAATCGAGTGGCGGTTAATGATATAAATAAGGTCGGTTACAGACGAACCTAAGATGTGCGATTGATTTTAAGACAGTTTTTGTCGAAAAATTTTTAGAAATAGACCTTTTAAATAGTGTTATTGATATTATAGTTGGACATGAGTAAGTGTGTGAGAATGTATGGATGTATTTTTGTGATTCTTTCATGTTAAAACGGCTGGATCGATCTGGTTAAAATTTGGTATGTATAAAGGTGATACCCTGGATTAGCACGTAGGCTTTTTTAATCAACATACCACACGGGCAATACCGCATACGGGAGCTACTTAAATCACAAATATATTTTCCATGGACAGAAGCTACTTAATCATAAATATTTTGTCGTAAATAGACAGAAAAAGCTGTGTAGGTACGTTGAACTTTGAAAATATCTATGACACCACAATAAAAAAAAAACACTAGATAAATGATAGAAATTTATCAATTTCTCGTTCCCATTACATCGAATACCGTGTAAAAATAATTAATTCTACCAATTTGCTAATCAATTACAACGTACATACCTTCGCAACAGCAATTATGACGCATCAGCGAATTTATAAGCTCATGCATCTAGTGCAAATGCAACTGATTGCCTCGTATCATGTTTGCGACACGGAATTCGTGGTTAGTCGTGCGTTTCTGACCGTTTTCTGTTGGTGCACCTTTACAATCGATTATAACGTATCATCGATTCGACAGAATCGATTTTGTACGAGTGGGTCATCACTAGTCTAGTCTAAGATACAACGTTTCAAATATTTAAAACTAGCTTTTGCCCGCGACTTTGATCGCGTGGAATAAAGACTTCCTGCAGATTTTTGGTTTAAAAGCTATCCTTTGTCCTTTCTCGAGTTCCAAACTATGTCTGTGCCAAATTTCACACAAATAGGTTCAGTAGTTTAGGCGTGAAGAAAAGACAGACAGACAGACAGACAGACAGAGTTACTTTCGCATTTACAATATTAGTATAGAAGTATAGATTAAAAATCGAATGATTTCGTAGGTTAGTTATTATTAGAAGTATTTTGTCATTTTTACAATCACTGAAATAAGTTTCAAAACTCCGATATCAAAACAATCAGTACCTAGTATCGATTACGTTTCAATCACGTTTCGATTATCGTTATCTAATAATCGAGTTGAAACGAATCGCAGCCGTTCAAAATCCATGAGCCTAGTTGACCCGAATTATTTTGTACTCGGTAATTACTCGTAATTACTAGCCATAGCATATCAACCTACACTTCCAAACAGCAAACGAGTTTAGTCTTTATATCAAGACAAATACAGTTGAAAATTAAATTACGAAAATACGCAGTTCATATTGACGTATACTGTCTTTTTATGTACAGGAATGCACATTAACACGGATTGTTAGTATGTCTTGTACAATTATGGTAATAACTTGGGCTATTTGGAAAATCTCCTAGTTTACATACTTGTATAATTTACTAAATATATTGTTATTGCAGTTAGAATATAATGCAGTCGATAATTGCGTTTCAATTTAATCAGAATCATCTTCACGTGGTTAGCTGTACCTAGTACAATATATACAAACATAAAGTATAAGTAAGTAGGTATAAGTATTAAAAAAAACCTCATTTGTGTATTCAACTTGTAATACAGGTTTTAAACTCCATACGTTAGAGTTTACTTAATCAAAAGTAGAGCTTCTTCTAACATGTTCACTAACTGACGTTCAATATTTGACAACTTAACATAAAGAAAAAAAAACACATTTAGAAGTGCAAACCAAACTACTTAAGTAAAGCGAAATTAAATAAATAAATTACTTACACGAATTCCTAATTCAAATTTCGAGGTCGATATCAAAAGGCTAACCTTAAAAGTTTGCCAGTTGAAAAAAAGGTCAACAGAAGAATAAATACTAATACAAACATGAGTCAAAATACAAACATGGGGTTTTCTTTTTCATCAAAAACATCCTAAAACAATATTATTTGTACCAATAATGACTACACTTAAAAATAAAGTATATTTTGCAAGGAACAAAAACGTTAATCGTTCCAGTACATTGACCGAAGATCGAGACAGTAAATCTAAAAAAAAAAAAATACAAACCAAGCTTTAGTTACCTTAAAAGGAAGACTAACAAAAGCCAGTTAATTATTTGACTGACAACATAGAAGCATAGAAGTAATATATGTTTTTATTAAACTTATGTTAGGAAACTTTGGAAACTTTGAATCCATACAAACAATGTTAGTCTTAGCTTCAGGCAGAAACTATAGAGTACCACTTTGTATCCTTCCTTTGTATTATAAAGCTGAAGTTTTGGTTTGTTGTTTGAACGCACTTATCTCCGGAACTACTGATCCGAATTCAATAATTCTTTTAGTTTTGAGTAGTAAATTGATCGAGGAAGGCTTTAAGGTGAATAACATCACGCTATGATTTGTAGGAGCCGAGTAGCGTGTAAAACCGCGCAAGAGTAG